AGGAACTTGATTTCTTCAGTTCAGGCAGATCAAGAGGCAGTAGGTCTCGCGCTCGACCCACTTACACGTGGTATCAGAGCCCGGCTCCGACATCAAAGGCGCAACCGTCTTCGGAGAATATGAGCTCGGGATCGACCGCTGGGATCTTCATGGCAGATGGGTTCTCTCAAACCCGTCCTCCGAGGTTTGAAGGCGTTCACTATGGCTATTGGAGAAATCGAATGGAGCTGTTCATAGGATCAACTGATCCAGACCTATGGAACATTGTTCTGGATGGCCCACTGGAAGTGAAGGAAGCTCGGGGCAACTGGACTGAGACAGACAAGAGAAATTTTCAGTTAAATTCGAAGGCTACAAACCTCATGTACTGCACACTGGGACCAGAGGAGTATCACAGGGTGACAGGCTGCAAGTCCGCAAAGGAAATTTGGGACAAATTGCAGATTGCACATGAAGGCACATCTCATGTCAAGATTTCGAGAATAAACAGTCTTAAGCAAGAGTTCGAGTCATTCATTATGAAGCCTGAAGAATCAATCAAGGAAATGAATGATCGATTCACCACGATTGTAAACAGCCTGAGAAATTTGGAGGTGGAATATGCCAGTGCCGATCTGGTTCGCAAGGTTCTTTGGGCTCTCCCAAAGAGATGGACGCCAAAGGTCACTGCAATTGAGGAATCCAAAGACCTCACCAAACTCAGTCTGGATGAATTGATTGGTTCCTTGATTACTCATGAAGACAAGTTAAGAAGAGAAGAACTAAAGGAAACCAAGAAAGAAAAGAAGGGGATAGCATTTAAAGCTACCACTCAAGACGACGAATTAAACTGCTTGGATGAAATGGAAGATGACGAGCTTGCTATGCTAAGCAAGCATGTGGCAAAGCTTCTTAAACTTCGAAGAGCAAAGAAACGAGGTGGATTCCCAAACAGATCAAGGGATGGTGAAGCCGACAGAGAAAGCAACAAAGGTGGAAGACTGGGGTTCAGAAATCGAAAGGAAGGAACGAGCAATGAGAAGCCTCAACCTCAATCTGGCTGCTTCAGATGCGGAAAGACAGGGCATATTAAAGCCGAATGTCCACTAGGAAAAAAGGAAAGAGCTTTTGCAGCAACTTGGAGCTGCAGCGAGGAGGATGAAGACGATGATGAAGCCACTCCAAAGTTCAGTGCATACATGGCAATTGACCAGCTTCAAGAGGAAACGTCTCAGGTAAATGCCTACTACTCATACTCTAGTAGTGATGAAGATGAAATGCTTGATGAAACAATTAGAAACATTCAGAACGAGTTTATAACTGTGAAAAACAAGTACATTTTAATTAAAGCCAGTCATGAAAATCTACAAAATGAACTTGAGCAAATGAAAAATGAAAAAACTAAGGCAGAACACAAGATACATAATCTAGTGAAAGAAAACAGTAGGTTAAAAGAAGCAATTGATACTGCTAAAGCAGAATTATCCCAGATAAAAGGAAAAACTAAAACAAAGGCAGCATGGAAAAGAAATTCAGATGTTCATAAGAATCATGAATGCTTTTACTGTCATCAAACTGGTCACTACATCGCAGATTGTAGAAAACGCATTAGTAAAGAAAACAGGATAAAACAACATGAGAACAAATGCTTAAAACATCCTCACAACAACTACACTAACTTAACTCACTACAGTAAAGTATCTAAGCTGGTCTGGATACCCAAAACTAAGTAAGCATACTTATCTTGCAGACCTGTCTCCAAGTGGGCATGGAGGGCATCGTTTGGATACTTGATAGTGGGTGCTCACACCACATGACTGGTAATAAAAATCTCTTCTCAAAACTAACTCTTAAAAACAAAGGGAAAGTCTTTTTTGGGGACAATTTTAGCACTGAAATATTAGGAAAGGCACAGTAGGCACTGTCCCATCCATAAGCAATGTGCTACTAGTGAAAGAGTTAAAGCATAATCTCTTATCTATTGGACAGCTCTGTGGAAATGAAAACAGGTTTGTCTTTGAACAAGACAAATGCTTTGTGGAAAACATAATAAGTAAAAAACTCATACTAACTGGTAACAGAAAAGGAAAACTGTTCTCAATAGATATTGGAGACAAGGATGCCTTCAATGAAACATGCCTTGTCTCAATTGATAAAAATGATCAATTTGAATGGCACAGAAGACTAGGACACGTAAGTATTGGAATCCTGTCAAAACTGGTAAATTTGGGAATAGTTAGAAGGATTCCAAAACTTCTAAGCAAAAAGGAATTCTTTTGTGATGCATGTGCAAAAGGAAAATACTCTAGGTCTTCTTTTAAAACCAAACCTGTCATTTCTACATCTAGACCATTAGAATTTCTTCATCTAGATTTGTTTGGTCCTAGTAATGTTAAAAGTCTTGGAGGTAAACACTATGCATTTGTAATTGTAGACGACTACTCAAGGTTCACTTGGGTACTGTTTTTAGCTTCAAAGGATGAAGCTTATCAAAACTTCAAACACCTGGTTAAACGCTTAGAAAATGAAAAACAATCAAAGATAGGAAGCATAAGAAGTGATCATGGAGGTGAATTTGTGTCTGAAAAATTTGAAGCTTTTTGTAACAAAAAGGGGATAATTCATAACTTCTCTGCTCCCAGAACTCCACAACAAAATGGTGTGGTGGAAAGAAAGAATAGAACCTTAATTGATATAGCACGAACAATGCTGAATGATTATGGAATTGCAAAACAATTCTGGGCAGAAGCAATTAATACAGCCTGTTATGTCACCAATAGAGCTCTTATTAGATCTAAGCTTAATAAGACACCTTATGAACTCTGGAAAGACAGGAAACCAAATTTAGGTTACTTTCACCCTTTTGGGTGCAAGTGTTTCACCTTAAACACCAAAGATAACTTGGGGAAATTTGATTCAAAATCAGATGAATCTATATTCCTTGGATATGCTGTTAACAGCAGGGCTTATCGTGTGTTTAATAAACGGACCCTCAAGGTTGAGGAGTCCGTTCATGTGATATTTGATGAAACATTGACTAAGTGTGCAGAAAGTGTCGATGAGGATGATGATTTAGGATTGGGAACAATTCACACAAGTCATGAAGCTCCTGAAGTTCAGGAAACAGAAGCTGTGCCTACAGATGAAGGTGGCAGAATGAAAGAAAAGGACAGTAATCCTCAGGCACCACCTCATATAGTTCGACGACACCCCCCATCTCTAGTCATTGGAGATCCCAGTCGAGGTATGCTTACTCGTTCTAAGTCTTATGCTGAGCACACTGCCTTTGTAGCTCAATTTGAACCTAAATGCATAAATGATGCAATAAATGATGAGTACTGGTCAGCAGCTATGCATGATGAAATGAACCAATTTGCCAGGACTCATGTTTGGGACTTAGTTCCTAGACCTAAGGACAGAATAATCATTGGAACCAAATGGATTTTTCGAAATAAAATTGATGAACTTGGAATCATAATTAGAAACAAGCTAGGTTAGTAGCTCAAGGCTATTGTCAGGAGTAAGGGGTCGATTTTGAAGAAACATTTGCCCTTGTAGCCAGGTTAGAAGCCATACGTCTCTTATGTGCCTTTGCTGCCTCTAGAGGTTTCAAGCTGTATCAAATGGACGTAAAAAGCGCGTTTCTAAATGGTGAAATAAAAGAAGAAGTGTATGTCTCTCAACCTCCGGGGTTTGAGGACTCAGAACACCCTGAATACGTGTTTAAACTGAATAAGGCCTTGTATGGACTCAAGCAGGCTCCTAGAGCCTGGTATGAGAAGCTGAGTAACTTCTTGATTGAGAAGGGTTTTCATCGTGGACAAGTTGACAAAACTCTGTTCATTAAAACTGAAAATGAAGACACCTTGCTTGTTCAAGTTTATGTCGACGACATAATCTTTGGCTCTACGAGTCAAAAATTATGCTCTGAGTTCGAAAATGATATGAAGAATGCCTTTGAAATGAGTCTTATGGGGGAATTAACATACTTCCTTGGATTACAAGTAAAACAAACCAGTCAGGGGATCTTCATCAGTCAGACAAAATACTTACAGAACATGTTAAAACGTTTTGATCTCAACAATCTAAAAGCAGCTTTGACCCCCATGGGATCTTCTGTTAAACTGACATCTGATGAATCTGGAAAATCAGTAGACTGTAAGAAATTTCGTGGAATGATTGGCTCCCTGTTATATCTCACTACGAGTAGGCCTGATATTATGCATAGTGTATGTGTGTGTGCACGATTTCATGGCAATCCAAAGGAGAGTCATTTCTCTGCCATTAAACGAATTTTTCGTTATCTAGTAGGGACTCCCTCTCTAGGTCTCTGGTATTCCAGCTCATCCAGTTTAGATCTGATTAGCTACAGTGATTCTGACTATGCTGGATGTGTAATTGATAGGAAGAGCACCTCAGGTGCTTGTCATTTCCTAGGTTCCTCTCTTGTGTCATGGTTCAGTAAAAAGCAAAGCTTAGTGGCTTTATCCACAGCTGAAGCAGAGTATATTGCTGCTGGCTTTTGCTGTACTCAAGTCTTGTGGATGAAATACCAACTTGAAGACTATGGTCTTAAGTTGGGTTCTCTTCCTATCGTGTGTGATAACACCAGCGCAATTAACATGACTAAAAACCCAGTCCAACACTCTCGAACCAAGCATATAGAGGTTCGCTATCATTTTATTCGAGACTTGGTCCAGGAAGGAAAAATACACTTAGAGTTTGTGGGCACTGATTCTCAATGGGCTGACATATTCACCAAACCCCTGCCCATTGAAAAATTCTTACCTATTAGACGCGAACTTCGCATGTTTACTCTAGAAGAAATATTGGAAATCTCTTAGGATTCTGTGATCTCTCAATTTCCTTAAATCCTTCAAAAGAGTGTCCATTAAGTCACTGTCTCGGATAATCAGCAGTCATCTACTGGATATCCAATGGATACTTGAATCAAGAATGATTCACTTACCTTACCCCATTCTTGTCGAGACTCTATAAAACTCAGCAGTTTCCTCATCATCCAACCCCACTCTCAAAACAAACACTTTCCCACAGATCTCTCTCACAACTTACCATGGCCTTCAACAATGCTCAGCTCCGCCCTGTTGTGGTATTCAAAAATTAAGGCTTTCGCAACGCCATAGTGCACTCAAGGTACCTTCGTTGCTTCCGTGATCGTCCCATCTACCCATCTTTTACCATCTCTCCTTCAGCCTTTTCCAAATACGACATGGACATTTCATCCCTGGTTGCTGGACTAGGGTGGGAATCATTGACTGAAGATCAACGGTTTCTCCACTGTCCTGAAGCAGTAAGGCTTTTTTATGTCAATATTCGTCGTGACAGTGGACCTGAGCCACAGTCTTTCACAACCATGGTCTATGACCATGAAATCACTGTCACTCCTGCCTTACTGGCATCGGTTCTCTCTCTACCTCACTCTGGGATTCTTGCCAGCTACGAGAGTGACTTTATTGAACATGGGTTCGACTTCCTTGCTGCTCTTGACCAAGTAACACGGGACACTGGCAAGGTCTTCCCCACTCGACTCTCAGCTGGTCGTCTTCCTGACGATCTAAAGGTCCTTCATTTCTTCATCACACGATGCTTCCTTCCAAGAGACGTTACTAGTGCTGGTCTTCTCCACTCTGACGATCTCTGGATTCTGAGTAATGCCTGTGCTCATCAACCTATCAGTTATGCATCCTTGATGCTCGTTCATATACTCAAATTCGGTGGTGGTGGCTACAGTGGTGCTCTACCCTTTGGACCTCTCATCACTCGTTACTTGCATCGCCTAGGAATAGATCTCCGGGACAAGGTGGCTGTTTGCAACATCCATGATGATTTGCGTCCCAATCATGTTCTAGTTCGCCTTGATGCCGACGTTGGCCGCCGTAAGCTCGTCTCTGGCTCAGGGGGAGACTCAGCTCACTGCCCCATTTTCTCTCCTGCTGATCCCATCTCTGACTGTCTACTTCCAGCCCTAACTCAAGCTGCTGTCACAGCCATAGATGGTGAAGTCAAACGAAGAAGGGAAACTGGTAGTGGAAAAACTACCAGTCTTTTGGTATGCAAAGAACGTTTGGAACTCATTGACTTTGATGAAGCAAGGCCTGCTCCAGACGACTTTGATCCAATTACTCCTGACTCAAGCTCTGATGATGAGATATCAGACTATGAGTCACCTCCTGGTTATCCCTTCTAGAGAATCGATGGTGGTACTTAGGGGGAGTCACAAGTTATGACTAGGGAAGTCTTGTAGATCGTTTAAGTCTGTGTTTGAATGGTGTCAGTGTCAAGTTGGTTTTCCAGTTGTTTGATTGTTGATTTGAATTTCGAAACTTGTATTTCTGTTGAACTGATTAATCAGGAATAAAAACTTCCCTTGTCACTCTTGCCAGCACTTAGCATAGAACAGACTGCACCAATAGTTTGCTGAGTGTGTGCAGGAAAGAAACTAGTGCAGTAGGGAGAGCCATTGACAAGCTTAGGGGGAGCATGTTAAGGGAAGCTCGTCAATAGGGAAAGAATCAACAAATCAAATCAAGACAAAGATGGAAATTCTCAAAGAAGGAAACCTGGAGCTAAATCACAGCAATTAAAACCTTAATCAGACAACGACTATCTTGAAGAGAGCAGACTATATAACCACGAGGTTGAGCAATGGAAAGCAGAGTTTTCCGGAAAATCGAAAGAATTGAGTGTTGAGTGAAAAGTGGTGAACTTTTGATAAGAAAACTCGGTTAGCTAATCGGAGAGAATAGCTAGTGAATCTGAGTGAACAATCAGGGAGATTAGAACTCAGCATTGGAGTTAGGCTGATTGGCAGGGAGCTGATCATCCTCAACTGTGCCATTGTAATCACGATCAAGGAAACGGTCTAGTAGATTCGTAGGAATCCTCAAGAGGAGAGATCCCTACCGTGGATTAGTCGATATTGGGATCCTCCTTCTCCCAATATCGGATACCACGTAAAAAGTGTTGTGTTGTGTTTGTGTTCTTCATTTTCGAGCTTTGGTTTATGCTCTACTTGTGTGTTTGATCACTGTGTTCAGAAACAGGGGAGTCTTCGAAGCAGGGAGGTGAGCTCGATTAAAGGAGAGAAGCAAACAGCAGGCCTAGAAAGTTTATTCGGAGGCCAAGCCCAGTTTACCTGTGAATAAACGAGTGGGCTCCAAGCCCAAAATTGTTGCAGATAATTATTTGTCTGTTTTGGCTTAATTACTAGTTATTTCAATTTTCTTGTCTCGCACAAATTCATAACTCAAACCCTAGAACTGCATTTCCTCACTTGTTCAGCAACTGTGCCGATTAGGTTTTGTAGGAACTTGATTTCTTCAGTTCAGGCAGATCAAGAGGCAGTAGGTCTCGCGCTCGACCCACTTACAAAAGCATGATCATCAACCTTCTCTTAAATGAAAATTTAATCCATGCGACTGATATTCCACGTAAATTGAGGCCACGATAATACGAATGGTAATTACTCAAGCAAATCAAATTAAATCCATTTATTATAGATAGAGTATGTATGAAGTATATATAACTTCGAGGTTTTGTAGATGAGTTTGGATAGAGTATGAATATTCCCTTCATGCTCTAAATGGACATGGATTGGGATGAATGCCTTTTTATTAGAGGTTGTTTTAATCACACATAAAAAATTGGACATATTTGTTGAACTTATAAAGTGTAGATATCAAAATGTAAGACACATAACTTTCCATAAATATAATTTTCTATAAATTTAGGTGCCAAAATATAATTTGCATACCGAATTTCATAGATTAAAAACCCAACTCAACACAAATAAATCAGTATAGCTACAAATCCATCAAACCTACTCATTTACCTTGTATTTGGTTTCATAACCAAACGAATTGGATTGAATATAGAAACACTCATGAATTTTGAGCTAAATTATCATCCTAATGATAATTTTAACAAAAGTTTGAGCCTTGTGATCACTATTGTTCCTTTCTTCTCCTCAAATTACGTGATATTGTTTCTATCAACAAAAGCTTGATCCAACCTCTTCTCAATAATTCATTCGACAAATATACCTTGTTTTGAATCTAATCCATCCACAACTATATACAAAGCCTCGCCACCTACCCCTAATCCACCCCTCCCTCTTGCCTTGTCACCATTGGATGGAACTTTGATTGAAGTTTCCAGCGCAAAGCAGTCGACTTTACCTAGAACTAGCTAACATACTAAACGTACAAAGCATTAGGGCTTGTGTAATATCACATATAATAATTCATATGAAACGGACGGCTAGAAAATTTGGCTATAGCATGCCATGATGTTCGACCACACCAAGAAACTAAAAGGCGTTGATAATAATGTGATTATTTAAACAAACAAAAAGGGATGCAGCATGAAATTTGGCAAAGACTGGCTCAACCACGCAATTAGGAAGACTGGGGGGGGGGGGGGGGGGGGGGGGGGGGGGGGCCAGTAGCATAGTACCACGCAATTAGGAAGACTGGGGGGGGGGGGGGGGGGGGGGGCCAGTAGCATAGTAGTGGTGGAAATTAGGCCTCAAGCACACATGCAAGTTGCAGAATGGTTGACTCTCATCTCATTCCTCCTCGCTCTGTCCTTCCACCTTTCGGAGTTGGGGAAGGTCCACTTATGGTTGATAATGGTGGTTGGGTTGGGGGGGCAGTTTTAGAATTCCAATTGGTCGCCACTTTTCCTCCTGTCCTTATAGTTGACGCGTGTAAAACGCACCAACTTCGATCTCTATCCTGTGATGCTGCCTGTTGTGGGATTCGCACCAAGTGCAGTGCGTTTGCAACTCTGTTGGACTTGATGCAAGCTTTGGCTCATTTTTATTCGTACATGTATTCAACAGCCGGAATTAATTCAAACACCACTCATTATTTGTGTTGGACTCGATGGACGATCTATGGAAGAATGAAGAAGAGGGAGTACAGCTTCAACTGCAGCAACCGTCGAGAACAGAGCAAAGAAGGAAGAGGAGAAATTAAAAAATGTTTGCACGCAAATAATCTTATAAAATATGATAAATAAATACCAGTAACAAGGAATTGGTTTTCTGAACTAGAGTGTCGGGCTTGACTCATTGCTAGAGATGGTGATGGAAACACGTTTTCGTAATTCTATCATAATTATCATTACTATTATTATTAGGATATTTACAAATAAGGATAGCAGTCTTTTAGTAGAATTAGGTTTATTATTAGGTTTTCCTATCTTTCCTATAAATATGTAATCTGGGTTTCATTATCAATCAAGCAAGAACAATTATTCTGAAAAGAATCTCAAATCCTAATCTCTCTCAACTTCGTCACCTATCCCTAGGCTGTCGGTCATACTTCTCCCCGATCCCCAATTTCCTCTTCTAAATCCCTAATCCTCAATTATGTTCCTCCCCAATTCTATCAATCCCCCTAAATACCTATCAATTCCCAATCTCGTCAACTCGATCGTTAGAACCCTAGAAATAGGTTTCTAACATTTGGTATCAGAGTCATGGTCACAGATTTGAGTTCATCACAACTCTCACCAGGGAATTGTTATAAGAAACTCTATCACGCGTTTGAAGCTCTCCAAGCCAGTCTAATAAAATATGAAGCTAGAAGGGAGGCTCACGACAACTCTATGATGGCAAGCCTGGAAGAACTTCTAGCCAAACTCGAGCGTCGCGCGGCCCACAACCAGCCAGAGTCGACGTCGAAGGATTCATCAACACCAACCACTGTCGAAGACGCTCCTGTCGCCATTGAGTTTGCTCTTGTCGCAGTGGAAATCGGTGCGATTGGTGCAGCTCCTCAGCTGGCTGCCTGATGCTCTAAAACACAACACCTAACAATGGCCAAGTGTAACCAATGAAAGGGACTGCAGTATAGTGGCACAAGTAATAAATATTGAATCCACGGGTCTCTAGAGTTACTATTACTCAGCTTCAGTTCATTATCTAGCAAACTAGATTAAGGATTAATTAACTAAACTACTCTACTAACTAAAATAAGTAAAACTACTAATTACAGTTTGGGAACTCGCTTAGGTATGATTCCCCCTAGCTCCTCAATTAGGTCCAAATTGTAATTCCTTTTGGTTGTTTTACTGTTGATTAAACTGCGGAAGATTCGACAGTAGCTTGGAATCTCTTAAGCTGACCAAGCCCTCTCAGTCTAACTATCCGGCAGATGACTAGTCTTCACCGGGATAGACAGCTGAAGCAATAAGCACAGAACTCCACTACTGGAATTGGATTCCAGTACAAAGCAGTAAACTGGCTAACTCTCGTATAGCCAATCTCCTACTACCGAATGATAAGGCTCTAACAACCTAATCAGATTCTATCTATCTCAGGTTGCAGCAGAAATCAGGAAAAGTTGATCAGACTTCAATTGACTCAATAAACATGCATCATTCGATTATAATCAAACAATATAGCATTCAAAACTTCATACAAGAAAGATCCTAACTCATGGAACTAGGGTTCCTCAAAACCTAAGTGAAGGGAAGTTACTCCATAGAGAAGAGAGAGACTGCAGAAATCTGATCTAGATCTTCAATCTCCATCTCCAAGCTTGATTCCCGAGCTCCAATGGCGAAGAAATCCTCCAAAATAGCTCCAAGAATGTTCCCAAGTCGCTCTCTCTCTCTAGGGTTCGTCCCTTGGGTGTTTGGGATCCAAAACCCAGCTCTCCCCCTTTCCTTTTGCTGAAAATCTGGTTTTAAACAGCAATTCCCGACTCACACAGCCAGGCCACACGGCCGTGTGGCTTTCCCAGCTGCCCGTGTGAAGGCTCGGTGATTTCCACACGGCCACATGGCCAGGTCACACGGCTGTGTGGGTTGTGCCCGTGTGGCTTGCTCAGCCTCTGTTTAATGCTCCGTTTCTCCCTCGTCCGGACTCCGAATCAGTCGCCGTTTGATCCCAGACGCTCGTAGTCTCGTCCTCTTTCTTTTCATGACAAGATTGCATGATTCTTTGTCCATAAAGTGAGGTAGAAATCCATTCTTCTTCAGTTCATACCTGAGTTTCTTCTCCTGAATCGTCAATTGATCTCTGATTGACTTGAAACTTGCGCCTATGCTTCACTTTATGTGCTAGGACCTGAAATGTGACAAAGGAACACAACCTAGCGTAAAATAGGCCAAAGACACGATAATTCAAGCTCAAACAATCAAGAAACAAAGGGGAAAACATGTGCAAATACCGAGCCATCACTGCCGCAGACAAAGAGGGTGGCCCGGCCCTGGCTTCTGCAATCGTCAATCAATCACCACCTCCACTAATCTCAGCTGCAGTGGCCATCATACCACCAACCGTAATCAAGGAAAAAGAAGTTATGGCAGCCGAGATTGTTGTCCACCAACAACAGCTTCGGGTTGTTGCCGTGACAACCGACG